TTTCAGAACGACTTTTTTTTCTCCTTCTGCCAAGAACGGAAAAAAAACAACAAAAGACATTGTCAGTTCAATTTTTTTTATAATGTGTGTGACCAACATCTTGATAATGTGAACGAAACAATAACCAAAATAAATTTAATTTTGATTGAAGCAACAGCCGAACAACGGTATCTACTTTCCAAATACACCGCTCATTATTAACGAGTGATTCAAGTAGAAAAGACTATTCTTATTATGCTTAATTCTTAGCGATATGCATTGTGCCTCATGGTTATTGGAGTAATGATGAGTTACCTAATTGGAGTACGAATATAATTGGATATTGAAGTACGCGTATTATGAAATCCAGAAATGAATAAAACAGTTCAATAAGAACCTTTCATCCAGATATAGCAAGCAAACAAAAGTTTTATCTCATAATTGCATTTATGAACTTTAGTCGTGTCATGTATTAAATAGTTCTAATTAGAATTCGGATCAATATTCGGAATACAATTAGCCTTTGTTTTCTTTGCTATTTTGATAGGATAATTGTTACTTAAATGAAATTGTGAATTAGAAAGAATTTATTTTTGCTTTTGGCTGTTGAAGCCATATGCGAATACGAAAGTTTCATTTACATTCGAAAGCGAATTCGCCTAGTACTGCTCAATTCATGTTCTTTTTCCAGTGCGACTAATTTCATTGTCAGAGAGTGTGTGAGTGAGACTAGCAGAAGGAATATATCATGACTCATAATCTTGCTAAAGTGACTTTTGATTTATATAATATTCATTCGAAATATGTGTAAAATAAAAAGAAATATCCTTTTCTTTTGGTATTCTAACTGTTGATCTTTCATTAAGTTCTACGATTCATAAATGTATCATATCCAAATTTTGTTTGTTCACATTTGAGATTTACACAATTCCAACGTGTGTCACAATATCAAGGAGAAAACGCTTGCACTATACAAACCTATATCATTACAACTATGTTTATAATAGACGTGTGTCGATGAAAATTATATTAGAAAAAATATTTTGATTGTGAACGATGAATATTATTGGTGCAAAATGTAATTAGAAAACTCATCTACCACCGATTTATATTTTACATGCATGTGGAAGAGAGTGATACAATACATGAATGCTGTTTTTCTTAATTCAAAAGTATCAAAAAAAAACATCATAGTTGTAGCACATGTCGGATGTCTTTGCACAAAAACAGAAGTTTCTCCCACGAAAAAAAAATTGGCCTTAACGTTGATTGCATTATTCTTTTGAATTTCTTCTGAAAATGCAAGTATGACAAACAAGAAAGATCAACAAAAAAAAGTACATGAATAGCGAACGAGCCAACAAAACAAAAATACACTAACGCAGTTTCATTATTGTTGCCATCGGTTTTTTTTCTTCTTTCGTCCGTGGCTGTACAGTGAGTGGTAATGTGAAGGTAGAATACGTAAATAAAGGACTGATCAAGAAATGTAATATTGTATTTCTCTTCACTCATTTCTTTCCATGTGATTGCATCTCATCAAAAGCTTTCTGTCAGTGTCTATGTTCTTCTATTGTTATAACGAGTTTGAATCAATCAAAATGCACTAAAAATCAATTCAGCACTGTTCGTTACGTTATATTCATTCCATTTCTCTCCATGATCATTGATTCACAAGCACCTAATGTCGCAAAATTCTATAGACTAAGTATCATTCGTATGATAGTGACAAGATCGTCAAAACCGAATGAATCTTCAAGAATCTATTCTCTAGAGCTTTAACATTTTTAGCGTGATAAGAACATTTTAAAAGTTGTTATGATGTAAATAGAGGCGTTTCTGCATTTTCCTTAGTTTGGAAAATGTTTACATTGTGGCTGTATAGAGGGTGTGGATGAACAGGTGGTAGACATTCACACAGACAGCCACAGTCTCTCCCATACTCACTCACACCCGTCCCCACACTTACACTGTGGGTATAGGTAAAACTGTCTTCTTCGCCAATACCCACACCCTCCTTATGAATATGAGCTTTGCATACTCCTTTATTAGTAGTAAAAACATCAGCCCATTTGATCAAAATACACCAATGATATCTATTCAAACTTTTCTTTGTTTTATTACTTTCTGGACACCCGGTATACCTCGATAAGCTCAAGAACACTAATATTGATTATTTTTCAAAGTTCTAACTTGATCAGTGCACGCTTTTTATTCTGATCATATTGTGATTGTGGTAATTCAATGCGTCGCTACTTATCGTCATCAACCTGTTAAATATAAATTTTTATCTGCGCAAAACTCAAAAATCACACTATTTAGAATATTCACAAATGTATTGTTTTCCGTTGTGAAGAGCTCTTGGAAAGGAGTCTGACGCCTGCTTGCCGTTGGTTGTTAGGAGCACGACCTAGAAACCATTGTCTCCATTACCATCTTTTTATGAAGGGTGAGCCACATTTCATATTGAATAATTTTTCAAGAAATGCTTTGGTAGCAGTACGATTAATTTGCGCAAGAAAAAAAAACAACTTTTTTTTTATTAACTGGTTTATGTCGTAAGAATAATTTCATAAAATTAAATTCTTTGATTTATCAAGTTTTATAAAATAAAATGAAAAAAATTTTTTTTTTGTTTTCTCTAAACTTTGTTAATCTTTAGGTTAAATGATCCTTATCCCAAAACAATAAACAACAAAGTGGAAATATTATAAGAAAACTTATTCTACAAGATAACAAAAAAGAAAAAAACGAAATTAATCAAAAATAAAAACAAAACCTTAATGTGAAATAATAGGTCCTTTTTGTTTAATTAGAATCCATAAAAGGAAATGGAACAAACGAAAAAGAAAAAAACAAAATTAAATAGTTCGTCTTAACTAAAAATAATGTTAATCAATAAGTTTTTTGGCTTTAAAATATCGTCGTAGATAAAGTACTTGCCAAATAGCTAAACTCATTAAACAATGCATTGAAAAAATGGAAAAATAAAGAACTTTATTATTTGTTGATTCATTTGTATCACGCATTTCTTCTTCACGTTGTTTCATATAAGCAAAATCAGATACAATTGCAGCTGATAAATCTTCTAAACGACTTAAGATGATCATTGAAAAAAATAAAAATATAAAATACACTGGTCATATATTTTTAACTGGTCCTGTAAAACAAGACCGTTCCGAAAACTATATGAATATTAGTGTTCAAGTCAGAGTGTAATTGCAATGCGAATGGAACTAAACTCGGTCGCAAAGCTTATGTTCGTTATCTTAGGCTACACAAAACTACACATAGGAGTCGCAATAGTCTTGCTTTGAAAGAAAAAGATTTCTCTACAAAATGTAATAGTTCAGTATTCATTTACTCTCTTTTTCCATAAAATGTATCTGATTCTTCAATCGAGATCAAAAGTCCTGTGCTTATCTCCACATCACAATTGTAATTGGTCCGGTCTTCACCGATTGAAAAATCTTTTATAGATATGCTCTTTTCTGATAAAACTTATTGAGAGCAAGTTTGCATACTCTTATCATAGCAATCAAAGTGTTGTTTTGAAAACTATCAGTTTTATTTTCTTCTGTTTCATTTTTTTTAAAAGCACAATCAAAACTGTGTTACTTTAGCTAAACTTATCTCATACATGCTTTATTAAAGCTCAAATCCAGATGTGAATCGCCATTCGAAGAGAAACATCAGATTTATAAGATATTGTACGATTTCATATGACAATCTTAAACTCTGCATTTCTTACAAAATTATATTGTAAAATCTTGTAATATTCATCTAAGTTTTTATAGAGTCTTTGAATGCAATTTGCAGTTGAATTTCTTGCTCTATTCTTCCGATCGGTATTAGCCCATCACCCTTTTTTT